ATCACTTTTCTTCAAGAAAGACTTGGAGAGTAAAACTGTAGCAGGAGATGAGGTTGACTAGGAGGTGCAGTATTAAAAAATACCACTAGAGGTCTCTGTCGTTTTGTAACATAATATATATACAGTGTATATATATATATATATATATATATAGTCAATGCAATTTTTTTTCAATTGTTGTGCCAATGCTGGTTTCTTTAGTACCTTTTGGGACACAGTGTTTTGTGCAGTACCTTATTTATTATGTCACTTGCTTACAGGGTTTTATTTTAAAGATAGTTCAATATTTCACTTTGCAAGGGATGCTTAAATCAAAATTTTGTATTATTATTTCTAATTTTGACTTTATTTCCTTATTGCATTGGTTTTTAATGTTATTTTAATCACGTTTCATTGTTCCTCAATAAAAGAAAAAGTCAAAGACCAGCCTATTCAGTTTTTTTTTAAACTGTTCCAAATACACAATATCTGAGAGAGTGTTGGGAGAGGGAAATAGATACTGTCATCTCAGAGGATGCTGAATTGAATATCTTTAAAAAATCCACACATGCTCATTTAATTTAAGGCACCAGCTAATTCAATAAAAAGTTGCACACAGACTATTATTCAAGCTGCATTCATTCTTCTCATCAACTTTTACACCGTTATGCGAAAAATGATGGCATATTGGCTCATATATTCTGGTTTTGCAACAAACTACTAGGATCACTGAAAATAATTCTAATCTAGATAAGTAATTTTTTCTTAAATTAAGTGCATTTTTTCTTGAATTGAGGAGGTAGTTGAGACACTTTGCCAATGGAACAAGACAATTTACATTTAAAATAAGAAAACAATTGCATTGTCTTATTTCGAGTGAATATTATCAAATTATCTTATTTTAAGAGTAAAAATACTCATTCCATTGGCAAATCATCTTATCTACCTGCTCAAATTAAGGGTTAATACACTTAATTTTACTTATTTCTAGATTGTTTTTGCAGTGATATTGGTGCAAGGTCTTTCACTGCTATTCTGAGGTGTATAGACATGATCTTCCCTCCTTGGCTAGTCTCACCAGCTTGAAACTCTTAATCAGTGGTTAAGATCCTCGATGAAACCAATATGGGAGGATTATTAAATCATTTGTAAAGTCTGGGACAAATACAAGAGATCTGGAGCTTAGATCACTGAGCTCATAAATACTTTACATATGGAAAGAATACGATTTGAGTTTTCAGGAATATGAGACATAACCTGACAACAGCCAGATGCATGTCTAGCTCAGCCTAGCTCCACTCACATACATCTGGGACACCGCTCATTGAAAGTGATTTCCCCACCAAATTTATGGTCTGGCCAATCAGGACGCAGGGCGGGTGTTTCCTGGATGTGACCTAGTGGAGAAGCGAAGTCTGCTGTGCACAATGTTGCCTTTTATCCGCACATTTTCATGGCACAAACGACATTGATCATTTACCGACATTGCGCTGATTCCACTGTTGCTATATCCAAGATGTCGGCTGTTCTGTTTTGTTTTTTTCCTGCGTCGCTCTCACAGCACCACAGGTTAGCTTCGGTGTTAGTGGTTGAAATAGCACGTCGATAAAGATGACAGACAAGTGGCTTATCCAATCATATGCAAGGAGTTTTGATAAGGCCCAGCCTTCAGTAAAGGCAATTTCTATGGCGGTGTCCCAGATGTATATGAGTGGAGCTAGGCGGAGCTAGACATGCATCTGGCTGTTGTCAGCTTATATGAGACAGACATCATCATACATTGTCACCATTTCTTGACCATATTACACATAGCCCTCATGACACCTCAAGGTTCCGATTGTATCAGAATATTTGTTTGTTGGTAATGTCTTAAAAGTTTTTTGCAGATTACCACAGAAACTGTTGTTGTGGGGTACAGCTTTTTATGTTTTTTTTATTTATTTATTTATTTTGTCTTCATATCCTGCCTCGATGGGAAGAAGGGGGTCATTGTTTGGGCTTTTATGTAACTGGATATAATGAAAATGAATAAAGTATTATAAAAAAAAAATAATGACTGCATTTTGTTAAAATGTACTGGTTTAAATACAAACAGTTCAAATGCCAAATTAGAAAGGACATTCCACGTGAGAGTATCGCTGCTGCCAACCTCTGTTTTAAGGGGGAGCTGCTTGTTCTAGAGGTGTTTGATGAAGAGGTAGCCATGGTCTCCCCTGGCCCCCCATCTAGCTATACCCCTGCTCCTGATCACATGCTCTAAAGCACACACACCTTTTCTTGGTCAAACAGAGGTATTTCTTCCTAGGATCCCTCCACAGATTAACCCTCAGTGAATCAGCATCTAGAGGACATCTGGTCTCCTCCTTAATCTACATAGCAGATAACGTTAAAAATCAAAGCCCTTAGTGAATTAGCATTTAGAGGATGCCTGTTCTCGGAATGATTACACAATAATAAAAATCTTAACTCATTATTGTATTTAAAGCTTAGGTGGAGTTTTTTTAAAAGAGGTTATACCACACTGACCCTAAAATACTGATAAACTGGAGGCCTCCATGCATGAGTAACAGGCTCAGATTCCTCTGAAATTCAGAGTGGCTGATTTTTGTCTATAAATCCTATTTGCAGCAGACCTTCACAGTAGCCTTTTAAAGTCACATTGCCTAGCATTTAGAGCAGGGCTAACCAATTAAAAATCAGCAGGGTCCGAATTAAAGAAAATCAATAACCAGTAAAGGTCCGGAGACATTAATGCATCCATGTTATACACTCACTCTTTAAATACAATTCTTTTTCATTTTTCCATTTTAAAATCTAAAGTGTTTTTTGAGGTACAGAACAACAATCTTTCAGTTTGGTATATAGACAGTTTCCTGAATCACATATTTTAAAAAGACACCTGAACTCAATATTCTTTTTTCATGCTTAATGAGAGCAGAGGGCTTTATGCTGCCCTGCAAGGCTTTAAACCTGGTTTGAATGAATACAAAGCCATTCTCAAACACATATCAAGGAGCTCATTTTGAGCCTGGATCCAGATTTATTTTTGATTCTGTTCATGGTGGAGAATCCTGCTTCATAGCAGCAGGTTAAACAACACTAAATGTGCAGGGTCATCTTTGAGCACGACATTTCACTTTCGTTTCACCAGTTCACCACAGTTCTTCCAGCAGTCCACACTTTCTCTGCTCTCTTTTTCTCATCGTCTTCTCCTTCTTTCCCATCGCCCGGCATGCCACAGGTTTGCCTGCTGTGTCTAAAAGTAGCAGCAGCAGCAACCCAGACTGATAGCAGCTCATTGGCTAATTTGGATGACGTGCAGCCTGGTCCAGAAGCTCTGGAAGGCTTTACCCTGTTAACAGAAGAAGTGGCAAATGTGATGTTTAGACACTGTCGTCGGTCAACATGCAGTAATTTATAAATGTTTTAAATCACGTTTGGTCCGGATTAGCCAGCAGGGGGGTCCGGATCCGGATTCTAATCCACTGATCCGTGACATCTGATATAGCGAAACCATTTATAATTGGATGAAATAAATATACCAAATATTTTGAAATTTGACTTCATTTTACTTTTAACGAAACACCAGATTCTTACTTGTTTTCAGCATTATTTATCCTATTATGTATAAATTTTCTTTATATTGTCTGTTTTATACTTAATATATTAATGTCCTCTGACAGAACCCTGTTTTAAAAAAATGGAGAGAAAGAAGTGTAGAAAGGGACTTTTTTTTAGGAAAATGTTTTTAATCTTCTATTCAACAGATTTATTTAGGACGTAAACACAAAAAAAGCTGATAAGACTTATTTGTTTTACAATTTGCATAATAATAATAAGGGGAAAACCTGGGTCACCGAAAAAGCAGAAATGAAAATGATACTAAAGGCTTATCTCAAACTGAGTTTGAAAAAAAGAATAGAAAAGAAAGAAAGAGCATTTATATGGGATACAGATTCATTAGACGTGGTCTTAAGGATATTAAGAATTGATTTTCTATTGTTTTACTGCTATGAATTACAGCTATAAGGACATGTCTGCACATTTAAAAAAAAAACAGAGTATCTCATTACAGCAATAACAAAATGCCTACTTAAATGTATATTAATTTACATTAGTGGCCATTTAAATTTCCCCACTTTCCTTCATTGGCCATTGCCTGGCCCTTTGCTGATTCTTGGCTGGTTCTTGGCTGGTCCTTGGCTGGTTCTTGGCTGGCCCTTTGCTGATTCTTGGCTGGCCCTTTGCTGATTCTGGGCTGGTTCTTGGCTGGCCCTTTGCTGATTCTTGGCTGGTTCTTGCCTGGTCCTTGGCTGGTTCTTGGTTGGTTCTTGCCAGGTACTTGGCTGGTTCTTGGCTGGCCCTTTGCTGTTTCTTGGCTGGTTCTTGGCTGGCCCTTTGCTGATTCTTGGCTGGTTCTTGGCTGGCCCTTTGCTGATTCTTGGCTGGTTCTTGCCTGGTCCTTGGCTGGTTCTTGGTTGGTTCTTGCCAGGTACTTGGCTGGTTCTTGGCTGGCCCTTTGCTGTTTCTTGGCTGGTTCTTGGCTGGTCCTTGGCTGGTTCTTGGCTGGCCCTTGGTCGGCCCTTGGTCGGCCCTTGGCCGGTCCTTGGCTGGTCCTTGGCTGGCTCTTGGTTTGCCCTTGCCTGTTCCTTGGCTGGTTCTTGGTTGGTCCTTGGTTGGTTCTTGGCTGGTTCTTGGCTGGTCCTTGGCTGATTCTTGGCTGGTTCTTGGCTGGTTCTTGGCTGGCCCTTGGTCGGCCCTTGGTCGGCCCTTGGTCGGCCCTTGGCCGGTCCTTCGCTGGTCCTTGGCTGGTCCTTGGCTGGTCCTTGGCTGGTCCTTGGCTGGTCCTTGGCTGGTCCATGGCCAGCCAAGAACCAGCCAAGGACCAGCCAAGGGCCAGCCAAGAACCATCACCTCTTCGCTGGAGTGTTTTGCCTGTTTTGGGTACTCTAACCCCTCAGAGTTTTTGCTGGGTTAATTTGTGATCTTTTCAAGTTTATTCATGCGCTTACCTTTTTTTTTTGTCCTTGTGAATCTCAGGCAGGAAACCGTCAGATATTATGGGATATTTTTGAGTCCTCCCAGCCCTGGAAGAAATCCTCTCGAGACGCAGAGAGTTCCACAACTCCTCTCCTCCGAGCACTGACCTTCATCAAAATCAGTTGACAGTCTGCTCCGCTGCTCCTCTGTGTTATCATAAACGTACCCGTCTGCTCTCCAACACCTCGTCCATTTTAGCCAGCCAACGCCTTCCACCGCCCCACAATCTGGAACCACATACTTCCCTCTAATTCTGGCAGCCAGTACAAGCAAGAACAGAGCATCAGTCTTCTGCATTTTCTCCGGCAACTGTGATCTCACCTTTTCTCTCTCCTTATGTGCAGTTGCTCCTGGCCTTAGGTCCCTCCAAGCAGTGTTAATCTGGTTTCTGTGTTTTTAAACATTCTCACTTTATCAATCCCTCCGTGATTGTTTGGGGCAAAAGATATAAATCCCATCATGACAATTTCATATTTGAACATCAAATGATCTTGTGGGGGGGGGGGGGGGGGGGGGGTCATAGAATAGAATAGGACTTTATTGATCTAACAACGGAGAAATTCACTTGTGACACCAGCTCTTACAAACAAACAAGAGATGCAGAAAGGAGGGAAAGGTGCATGAAGAATATATAGTGCATCTAGATATATGCAGTGGATGGTAAATTAAACGAGGATTTAAGTAGACTTATATAGGCTATCACCTCCCATATAGCTAAAACCCTGCTCCTGAGCATATGCTGCATACCAAAACCCCCATTCCTTGGTCAAACAGGATTGTCTGTTCCAAGGAGATAAACCTCCCAGAGATCAGTAGCTGGAAGACATCTGGTCTCCTCCTTAATGTGTGTAGCAGATAACATCCTTAAAAATGTAAAAAAATAAAAATAAAAAAAAAGGTGGGGTTTTGGAAAAAGAGGTTACAGCAAACTGACCCTAAAATACATTCTTGGTTTCAGCATTATTCATCCTAGAATCATTTTTAATAAATGGAGAGAAAAAAGTGTAGGGAAAGGGGCTTTATTGTTTAAATTTTTGTTGCAGAAGTTCATGATATTTCTGTGTCTAGAATAGATGCAAAGGCTCTGGGTTATTGATTAAATCTGGCCACATGTCAAGCCATGTGGTCAGATGAGACCAAAATAAACTTTTTTGTCATAATTCCACTGACAGTATTCGGAGGAAGAAGTAAGATGAGTAAAATCCCAAGAACGCCATGGAGCATGGGAGTGGTAATGTCATGCTTTGGCAATGTTTTTCTGCACATGTTTTTCTGCACACTGGGGCCAAGTATTGCAATGGCTCTGAAAGAAACAAATCAAGGTTCCAGCGTGGCCTAGCCAGTCTCCAGACCTAAATCCAATAGGGAATCTTTGGAGGGAGCTCAAAGTCCATGTTTCTCAGCGACAACGCAGAAACGTGACTAATCTAGAGAATATCTGTGTGAAGGAGTGGGCCAAAATCCCTCCTGAAATGTGTGCAAACATGATGAAAAACTACAGGAAACGTTGACCTCTGGAATCGCAAACAAAGGCTACTGTACCAAATATTAACATTGATTTTCTCAGATGTTCAAATACTTAGTTGCAGCTTCATCATACAAATAAATAGTAACCTAATCAATAACCTGACAGTAACCTAGGAAACAGTGGTCTCAGCTCTTTTCATGTCCTTGACCAGCTCCTTCCATGTAGTTCTTGGCTGATTTCTAACCTTTGTTAGCAACACTGAGACCCCATGAGGTGAGATCTTAACTTTTTGAAATTTCAAAAATCTTTTGATATTCATCTTCTTGCAACCAATATTTTTATGCTTTCAGATAAAAAACTCTGATAGCTGTTGTTTTAAGTTATATTTTCGAGAATACAATGTTCCACTGCAGACCAGCTGTTCAGCAATGCTGAAAGTGTCAAACATTTTCCTTATCACAAAAAGATGAGGCTGGGTCACTGAAATTGTGATAATAATCTTTACTTATTTCTTGAAGTTGCTACTATACTTTCAAAGATCCACTATATTATTCAGAGCACCAATGTTTTCTGAATCTCTAGCAGCAGGTGCTCTAGCACCACCTGCTGGAGAGATGTAGGGCTGTGGGACTCTGATTCAATCTCACACATTAATGGGTCTCCTTGCCAGTCTGTGAGGCAGACACCCTGTCTACTTTAAAGGCTAGGCTTAAAACTTTATTTTTTTATAAAGCTTAAAATCAAAGTAGCTCAAGTTATCCTCAGCTATCTCTGTAGTTATGTCGCTATAGGCTGATCATTCTGCTTCTTTCTACCTCTATTCTCCTCTTCTGCAGTATTTGTTAAGTTCCACTCAGATTTATGTTCTCTCCACTTCTCCTGTCATAGGAGCTTCATCTGGTTTGTTCCTGTTTTGGTTGTGATTCCATCCTGGAGAGAAATATCAGCAGTGCTACTGCCATCAACAGCTTTGTTTATAGCTGATAGAGATTGGCCTGTTTTTCAGTGTAGTCCTGTTTCTCTGACTGTGACTGACTGGATGTGCTCTCTTCATCCTGTGACATTGAAGGTGGCTCGGAGCTCATCTGCCTGGCTGTGTGTTTCCTGGACAGGGCCACTCATGGAGCTGGTTGACAGTTGCCTTTTTTTTAAATCTCTGCTTATTTTCTATGTCTGCTTCTGTCTCCTTGAACCCGTCGGCCTTGGCAGATGGCCACTCACACTGAGGTTGGTTCTGCTGGAAGTTTAAAGGGAATTTTCCTCTCTACTGTCACTACAATTATGCTTGGTATGAGGGATTGCTGCAGGGTCAATGAGTCGATGCAACCAGCTGGTTTTCCTTAGATAGAAAACTTTAAACCAATCTGACTGGATGATCTGGTTAAAGTGTCTCATAAAATACCTTAAGATCAAGTATTTTATGAACTGGCTTGGTGGAGGAGTATGGTCTGTAGCAGGCTGACCTCTAGGAGAGGAAGCAGTGGCGTCAGATTGACTTGTCCTGGAGAAAGTGGCAGCATCAGATTAACCCGTTGGGGCAGAAGGGGTGTTTCTGCAGGAGACACTGCAGAGTATGAGGAAGAAGTGGAATCCAGTTACATGTGATGTGATTAGTGATGATCGAGGTGGAGGAGGCTTATTGAAAAGCTGAGCAACAGCAGCTTCTTCATTCAAGTCCACCTCTTAAAAAAATGTCCAATAATCCTGAAGCAAAAAAAAACAACAACACAGGATTACTCTGATGGTTTGCTCTGCTGGGCCCATTTTTCAGCTGGATCCTACTGTCAGGTTTTTGGATGTAGCTGTGGACCCCAATGCAGAGTAGAAGTGGCAGGGATGATTTCTTGCAAAGTTTAATGAAAAAGAAAAAATGCAAAATCCATATTCCGTTACTGATCGACAAGAAAACTCAAGAACTAAAAAACTAAAAGACACCAGGGAGGAATAAAGCAAAAGAATGGTGAGGATCCAGCCAAGAGTAACCCAACAAGTGGTGTGTATATATATATGGGTGACAGAATCAATGGGACAACTAAGTAGCTGAGAAGGAGCAGGTGTGGACAAAACTAACTAGAAGGAGCTAAGGGAAAGGAAAGGACACTAGCTGAGAAAACAAACAAATTTTATCAATCTAGAGATCACAGAAGGAAAGTGGTGGCACCCGGTTGTGTCACCACTTTCCGTTACACCTAGGAGGCGATCCCCAGACCCCCCAGCATGGGAAGGGGTCACACCGGGGGTCTGGGGATCTCCTCCTGGGTCTGAGAGTCTGTTACCCATAAAGCATAGGTCATGGATTAGCAGACCGTGATCTGGCCCTGGACCCACCCTCTGGCTAATCCAGACCCATCCTGATTAACATTTATAAATTACCGCGTGTTGTCCGATGACAGTGTCTAATTTCACTCGCGCTGCTTCTCCTGTTAATATGGTAAAGCTGTCCGGAGCACTGGCACCAGGATAAAAATTCCAATGAGCTGCTGTCAGTCTGGGTTGCTGCTGCTGCTACTTTTAGACACAGCAGGCAAACTTGTGGCAAGCCGGGCGATGGGAAAGAAGGAGAAGATGATGAGAAAAAGAGAGCAGAGAAAGTGTGGACTGCTGGAAGAACTGCTGTGAACTGGTGAAAGAAAAGTGAAATGGTGCTCAAAGATGACCCTGAACATTTAGAGGATGTTTGACTCAACCTGCTGCTGTGAAGCAGGATTCTCCACCATGAACAGAATCAAAAATAAATATGAATCCAGGCTCAAAATGAGCTCCTTGATATGTGCTTTAGAATGGCTTTGTCTCCATTTAAACCCAGGTTTAAAGCCTTGCAGGGCAGCATAAAGCCCACTGCCAACATTAAGACAGAAAAAAGAAAAAACAAACGGACAGTTCAGGTGTTTTATTAAATATGTGAATCAGGAAATTGTCTACATACCAAACTGAACGTTGTTTTCTACTTCAAAAAACACTTTAAATTTTAAAATGGAAAAATTTTCTTTTTTTTTTAAAACACTTTTTCTAATTTAAAAATTCAATGTATAACATGGAGGCATAAAAAACTGCTTTTTATTTCAGTGTTAAATTCCGTTTAAAGTAACAGATTATAATAAAAAATGTCTCTGGACTTTTACTGGTTGTTGATATTCTTTATTCGGACCCCACTGATTTTTAATGGGTTACCCCTGCCCTAAAGGGATTGGCCCTTAGACCAGGGAGAACAGTATATGTTTAGTGTTTGCCTCTGTGTGCGTCTTGGTTAAGTGCTTATATACGTCCATATGGGTGAGAATGTGTAAATGTGACTGGATGAATATGAAGTTGTTTCTGTTTGCTTGTCAGGTTGGGTTTTTGCCTCCCCCACCCCACCGACTGAACATCCTAGTCCTCAAGTATGAGCAGAGCCCCCTTTAATGCTCCCTGCCTGTGACAGGTTCCTGTGTCTGCTCACGGACTGAAGGTTGTCTAAGTGCGGGGTTGTGTACTTCAGTGGGCGCTGTCTCGTTCCCCTCTGGGTGGTGATATGACCCTGGACCATGATGCTCTCATCCGGATCCACCTTGAGCGGGAACGGCGGCCCGTGGTGCCCATGGGCACTGCTATGGCCTCTGTAATATGGCATTTCCGTCTCCTTGTCTGTTGAATATATGATGACACTGTGGGGATGCGTTCATAGAGAAGAGCTGTCTGTGTTCTCTTCCATGAAAATCGTTTAAAAGTCCAGACTTCAGTTATCTTCTGATTTAAAGTCGTAGGGAAACAGCTGTTCCAACCGTTTTTCTTGAATTCTCCCGAGTGGTGTACGACTTTACACGAGTGAACAAAGTGAATTTGATTGGTCGTTTAGCAGGAGGACGGGGTTGTTGTGGCAGAAGGTTCACAAACTAGTTTCATTATGGCCGGTTTGTCTGAAACATTGTTGCTAGCCAGTTAGCAACTTAGTGCTAGCAGGTTCCCAATGGGAAATTCCATTGGGACCAAGTAGCACTAAATTGTTGACTCAGAAACAACACTGTCAAGGAACGCTATGGACAGAGGAAACATGCAAGAGGAGGAGAGTTTAGTGTTGGAGGTCGTGGATGAGTCTCCTCCGTCATACATTTTTTTATTTAGAGGAGGAAAGCGGGGACGGAGATGTTGTGGAAGAGGACGCCAGGGCGGCAAAAGCTTGGTTTGGTGTAGAAGGCTTCCAGCCGTACATGTTTGAGCCCTTGACTCGCAACGCTGCCAGTTCTGTTAGCTCTACGCCTGCTGAAGACACAGACGTCCATCCCCGTGAACACTGGGACGGAACTCAATGGGAAAGTGAACTATTCTTATTTCTTATTTCAACCATTGTCTATATTAGCTGCAACATATGAATCAAGATGCTATGACTGAAAAAATGTGATTGACAGATGATCGTTGATATATGATTGGCCGAATTTAGGTGTTCAGGTTGAGGAATAACTAACTGGCCTGAATAAGATAACAATATGGTCTCATAAAGAGTACATTTATATATATGTTTAATCCAGAATGATTTGACATTTGATCGGAAAAAGGTGGCTTGTCCCCTTCAGGTTGGAGGAGAGTCCTTGCCTCAAGTGGAGGAGTTCAAGTATCTTGGGGTCCTGTTCACGAGTGAGGGAAGAATGGAGCGGGAGATCAATAGACGGATCGTTGCGGCTGCTGCAATAATGCGGACGCTGCACCGGTCTGTCGTGGTGAAGAGAGAGCTGAGCGAAAAGGCAAAGCTCTCAATTTACCGTTCGGTCTACGTTCCTACCCTCACCTATGGTCATGAAATCTGGATCATGACCGAAAGAACGAGATCCCGGATACAGGCGGCTGAAATGAGCTTCCTCCGCAGGGTGGCTGGGCTCTCCCTTAGAGATAGGGTGAGGAGCTCGGTCATTCGGGAGAGGCTCAGTGTAGAGCCGGTTCTCCTCCACATCGAGAGGAGTCAGTTGAGGTGACTCGGACATCTTCTTCGGATGCTCCAGGCACGTCCCACTGGGAGGAGGCCCAGGGGACGACCCAGGACACGCTGGAGAGACTACGTCTCTCGGCTGGCCTGGGAGCGCCTAGGGCTTCCCCCAACAGAGCTGGAGGAGGTGTCTGCGGAGAGGGAAGTCTGGGAGTCTCTGCTTAGTCTGCTGCCCCCGCGACCCGGTTCCGGATAAAGCGGGAGACGAAGAGTACGAGAACGATTTGACATTTAAATAGGACTTCCCTATGACTTTAATAATAAACCTTTTGGCACATCTGCTGTGTCCAAAATAGATTGGAACAAACTACAAAGGCATTAAAGGATGTTCTGCTTGTCAGTCTTTCAAAAAGATTATATTTCTAAAGCACTTGTCAGTATATGCTACCTGTCTTATCAGGTGGACTCCATTTTTGGATAATGGATTGAACAATTCATTGTAAGTTCTGCAAAGGTTAAAAAAAGATTTTATAACAGAAGCCCAGTTTAAACTTGTCTGACCTGTCTGCTGTGGGCTTCATGTTGCTGTTTGATCACCATGGTTCCTCTGGCGTCTGAGGAATTCATGGAACACAGATTTATTCTGAGATGAAAATACCTACCAGTGGACTCTGTTCTGTAAGTATTTAGGACTACTGAAGGCGCTTGGTTGACATGAATTGTAAAGCTTCTACCACTCTTTGCAAACATGGATTTAGGAGGTATAATTGTTTCTCCACAGTTGTCTCATTTGTTAATATTTCTAGTAAAGCTGTAGTCTATAAATCTTGATAAAAGTCTTTGTTGTGTTCTGATTACAACTCAGAAAAGGGCTATATACATTCCTAATGGTGCAGATTTGTCTATCTAAAACAATAATTTATAATAAAACAGTTATAAACTAACTTTGACCAAGCTGGCTTAATGAGGACTAAATAAGGATGGTTAGGAGATGAAAGAACTCTGTTTATAAATCTATACTTATGTTTTGTTTTCATCTAAGTGTGGAAAGCGCTGCTAACTAAGTTAATGTATTTGCTGTGAAGCACATTTATGCATTCTTCATAATCACCACTAGATGTCACTAAATACAAGGAATTACTAAGAAGATATTTAAGCATTATCAATTATTTATTTATTTTTTCAAATAATTGACATCAAAGCAACATTTTTATAGAAAAATACTTTTACAAGTTCAAAATTAAGCTTATCTCAACTTACAGTAACCCTTCTGACAAAAATAAACATCCATTTTAAACATTTCACCAAAAATAGTCCAATCCAGAGAATAAAAATATATAGAGCTTTAAGTTAATTCAAGTACAAACAGAGAAATGCAAAATGGCTCAAAGGTAAATGAACTAGTAGCTACAGGTTTGGGTCAACTTCGTGTTTATGATGTAGGTGCAAGACGCTCCAGTAGGTCCAGCACTATGTCCAGTTCTCCCACGGCCTTCTGCGCCCCCTGTCTGATCTGTAGCTGAACAAAATCAAGGAGAAACAGAGAGAAGAGAGTTTTAGATATGAGTATAAATGCAACCTCAGAGGAGAAACTGAGGACTAAAACTCAAGTGGCTTTAAGGAAACGGTTGGATTTTACATAATTCGGTTAATAATCTGAATTATAAAAAAAATGGCCCTGCTGCTTGACTGGCGTTTTGTGGCAGTGGGACAAACACATCAATAAATGATATATAAGTTCTCAAATTTTCTTTAAAAAACAATTTTTTTGCCAGCTAGGACAGAAACCCTCTGCAGTTTGCTGCAGGTATGTAAGCCATGATAAGATCATTGCATTTTGTACAGGGAATACATCTGAGTTAGCGTACCATGTCAAACTTGGTGAGCACTGAGTCAATTGTTCTCTGTGTTTCTTCCCCACAGTTGCAGTGCTGTACATAAAGAAGCAAAAACAGAAAAGATTAACATGCCATACAGCTGCTTCTAATGACACAAGATCCGAAACTTGAAACTCTTAGCTTACACATTTATGCATTTCTCTTCTGATGCTGACAAAGGCATTTGCCAGGGCGCTGGAGCAGCGCTGCTGATGCGGTTGAGAAGACTCGTAGTTGTTGAACACTCTTTCAACATAGAAGCGCAGCAGGAGACGCAGAAAACAGCACGTCTGACCCTCCTGATGATAAGGGACACGTGTCAGTTAGAAAAGCATGGTAAAAAAAGAAAGTATTATTGTTCAGATCAATTCAAATAATGAGCTCACCTGGACATTTTTGATCATAGATGTATCCAGAAGCTTCACTCCAATCTCATCATCTCCTGATATCTGTTTCATGAAATCAGAAAATTGATTGATGATCTTTTACACTCTGAAATGGATGCTTTCCAATGTCTGCATGTTATTCTGAATGACCAGCTGCATGCATGTTCTAGTGCTGATGTGTGTTTCTAAACTCACCGCATCTGATTTTATGTCAGAGAAGTATTTGCGTAGTTCATGGAAGTGAACGCTGGCAGAGCATCCATCTACATGCAGGGTCTGGCTCTCCACTGGCCTGTTGAGAAAACCCAGCAGCAGCAAGGTACAGAGGGAAGAGCTGAGATGTATCTTCATCACGATGGTTACCTGGAGGTGGAGCTGATAGAGACATTTTGATTTGTTAAATACCATTACCAAGAGTAAAGTATCTTAGATAAACTAATTGGAGACAGTTCCTCTAGTGTCACCATGGAACTGAGATGCTGCAGCATCCCCCCCACCCACCCACTGTGTTCAGACTCACCTGAGTGTTTCCTGAGAGGATGAGTCCAGGTGAGTTTGTGTCTCTGAGTCTCCATCCTCTCCCTCCTCTTATAGTAGACTGAGGGGGATTTTGCCATCATACGCCGACTCACACAAGCGGAGGATGTTGCGGGCGTGCACACCTTTGTTTACTGGAGAAGGAAGTGTGATGCAATTAAAGGAACTCCTCATTCATGCTGTTGGAAAAGAAAATGAAAATGCATAATTGAGAGTTTCCTCACTCTCCTGACGTAAAAACCCAGCTGCTGCAGAGAATCACTCTCACTGACATGACTGTGTTCATGAGTCATGAGTGTCATCATTCCTTTTATCTGGTTTATGATCTATTAAATCAAACGTTTCTAGTTTTAGAATGAAATATTAGTTTTGGTCCTAAAAATAGCTTCTCAAAAATTTCTAACCGATAATTTATTTTACTGCTGATCATTACTAATAATAATCCACCTGTCTGCCCTATTACAATCCCGCCCCCCCCCCTGAAGGGACAAGTTCTTTTCTCCAACACAGGTTAGGCGAGTGATTTTCAGAAACACTTGCTGAACCTGCTCACCTCTTCACCGTGACAGCTGAGTAATCAGTAATGCTCTGAAAAAATGTCTGCAGGGAAGTCTGATGGGAACAGGAATTACCTGTGCTCTTGGTATAACCCTGAGTCACTTCAGGTGTTACTACAGAAGTATCAGTCAAATGTTCCCAAGGCTCTTTTGAGGAGGAGCAGATGTGTGTCAGCATTTTTAACTGGAGGTAAAACAAAACTAAATAAATAAATAAATAAACGTAAAAGGGGAAGGCCTGTTCGTAGGAATATCAGTGACCAGTAGGGGTCACTCAAAGCTTCAGGAGCAGGACTTATCTTCTCCATGAAAGGGCTCTGAATGTAGTTTTTGTTAGGATAATTATCATTGATGATGTGTGAGTTTATTACACCTTAATAATATTAGCTGCCTCTTGCGTGTCAGAACTGATGTTTCCCCAGTAGTTTATCTTATTAGGCCAGTTCCTCAGTCCAGCTATATACAGTTATAATCTTCATTCTGCACGTGCCAAAGATTTGGGAATAAAATGAGAGCAGTGTCCTTCACCAAAAAACAAAGTGTAATGTTTTGATAAGGCTGAAGCCATGACTGTCTCCTCATCTGCAACGTGTATGATGTAAAATGTGATGATGTGGCAGACTGGAGTTGTATAATCTGAGTCTTTAACTGTTTATCAGGGCCACTTCCCGAGAAGTGAGTCCGGTTGGTAAGCAGCTGCTCTCTGTAACTCTAAGCAACTTCTCTGATCTGAGAAAGATTACAATTTCTATCAAAATCAGTTGTCATGTCTCCTGGTTATTTAATACATATAAGTTATGAACTGTTATTTAAAGAGTTTGTCCCGAGTGATCTCTTTTTAGGAAAACGAACCGCAGAAAGAAAGCTCCAAGTTGTAGAAAGAGAGCTTACCTTTAACATTTTAATGTCTAAAGCTTGAAGAACATAGCTACAGTATATGAATACTTCTATAAATTCTGATGGATCCAAATCTATAAATATTAACTTCTGGTTATGATGCCAATGTCTACATGACAGGATTCTCCACTAATAGGTTCAGTAGGTTGAAGCTTAGGTGTTATTTAGGTGCTCTGTGAGAGAGCAGAGAAATTGCCTCTTCTTGGTGTTACATTGCTCAGATTTGAGCCAAAAAACAGCACAATTAAAAGAAAAAAACGAGGGAGAACATTGAAGGTGATTTTGAGCCTTGGTGTCGAGTTAAAGGGGATTTTTAGATTGGCCCCTTGATTTTACGTTATTAGTGCCGGCTACCATTCATTCATCCTGTCCGCTGAACTGCTGCTAGTTTTACTCACAAGCCTGGAAGAAGTCTAGTGCTGCTACCACAGATGATCTCGCACCTGATATGGAATTCAACGATTCAGATTAGCTAGCCGAATGAATAGAAGGGGTAGAGCCTAGCCACCTGTGGCCCAGGCTGCCTGTCACAACTTCAGTCCGGCGCGAAGATGATGTCATACACACTTTGCTTTAAAAAAAAAAATATATAAACATGAAAATATAACCGCGGATGTCTGGGGGACAGTGATTCGCCTACATGTTATGAATGCTGGCCTACCAGAATAAATTATGAACGGTTTAGTTTGTGCCTTCAAGTCGTTGCCAATAGGAAGACAGTACTTGGATATAACGGAATATCTTCAGAACAGCTCCAAATGACACAAAACTGATATGGGTGAGTAGAACATGATGTAATAATGTAAAAGACCCAATGTAAAAAAAAAACGTTGTTCCCCTTTAAAAAGGTAAATTAGACTCAGAAGCCATAAGGGGATTTTTGCTATTCTTCTGAACTGCTAGGTTAAAGCTTTGGTTTGGTTAGCATTAGCACACCGTGCAACCAACCGCTGAAGAGTGCAAGACCAAATGGATGAGAGCGAGTATGCCACTTACTGGACAGGAGGAGTTAAACTTGCCACTATAACTTTTAAATTGTGTTTTCTGATCTGTCTGAAACTTCTTATAGGATATTCCATCGAAGTAAAAAAAACAACAACAAACCACTGGACTTGGCTTCCAAGTTTGAAGACAATTCAAAATGTCAGAAACAGCGTTGCGTTCAAAGCTTTATAGAGTGGATCAAAAACAAAGCCTTGTTTTGGCTAAGAAAACATGCAAATTGAACCGGACGAATGGGCCCGCCCCTTTAAGTCGGGCAGTCGTTTGGGTTCTTTGATAGCCTGCAATACCCGATGATGGACTAAGTCTTTGAAAGGCGGGTTGTCTGGGGCAGTTGTTGGTCTGGCTGAACAGGAGAGATTCTGGTGCATGCATGGGTTGCGATGATAGCGGGAAGGAATAAACTAAATTGCTGCATTGTAGGTCTTTGAAAGCTGCAACCTAAATTCCACCACCTCTGTTTAAGGTACAGTAGGTTTTTCTTTCTTAACATAGATTGCTTCTGTCATGCCACTCTCAAACCACCTGTCTTCTTTGTCCAAAATGTGAACATTCTGGTCCTCCAAAGAATGTCCTTTGTCCATAAGGTGTAGATGTACCGCTGAGAGGTTGTGTGGTTTCCCCAATATAAAGATCAGAGCATTCCTCACTGCATTGAACTGCAGACACCACTCTGCTCACATTTGGTCTGGGAGTTTGGTCTTTAGGATGCACTAGTGCCTGTTTAAGGGTCTAGTTTGAAATTTACTGAGATTTTGTATTTGGGGAAAATCCTCTTGAGTTTTTTCAGAGAGTCCAGCAACATATGGGATGGCAATGTTTTTGCATTTATTCTTCTCACAGTTATGTTCTGCTGCATGTCTTTTGGATTTCCTTGCTGATTTGACATATGCCCAGTTTGGGTATTCACAGATTAGAAGAGCATCTTTGATGTGTTTCTATTCTTTGGGCTTCCCTGATTTAGTAGGGACATGCTCGATTCTGATGACTGAAACTTGTAATAGGATATAATTGTACATTTAATACTGCTGAGATATAATTCATAATCCAATACAATTTTATAAATATAAAGTGTATGCATATTTATTTGCCACTTTGAATAGAATTCCTCTAAATACAGTCCAGTTTCATTTAAATTAAAAACAACCTCTTGAAGACCAGTGAACTCTAAAGCAAAGTTGGGTTGTACAACATCACCGCCTAGGTTTAAACATTTCACAGAGCCATATTTAGGCCAAGGTCTGAAAAGGTAAGCAGTAAGGCATAACTGAAAAGTTACCTGGACAGGATTTTCTAAGGGAAGCCTTTATTAGGGAATTACAGGCAGTTTATGTTGTTGAATATAAACTTTGTGCTCAAAGAAAAGAAGGACATGTGATGGATAGGGCACAGATGCAGAATGGCAGCCAGGATATAGAATTACTTGTGCATGCTTCGTTCACAGGCCCAGAGTTTTCCAATCTCTGGTGCTGAGGTCAATGAGGTGATCCACAAGCTCCTCTGAGGCAAGGCCCCAGGGGTGGATGAGATTCGCCCTGAGTACCTTAAGCTGCTGGATGTTTCGGGGCTGTGTTGATTAACACTACTCTGCAACATTGCATGGACATCAGGGGCAGTTCTCCTGGATTGGAAGACTGTGGTGGTGATCCCCTTATCTAAAAAAGGGGACCGGAGGGTGTGTTCCAACTACAGAGGAATCACACTCTTAGATCTCCCCGGTAAGGTCTATTGTGGGATTCTGGAAAGGAGGGTTCATCATATAATCGAATCTCGGATTCAGGAGCAGCAGTGTGGTTTTCGTCCTGGCCGTGGAACACTGGATCAGCCCATACACCCTTAGCAGTATCCTGGAGGGTGTGTGGGAGTTTGTCCAACCAGTCTCCATGTCTTTTGTGGATCTGTAGAGAAGACATTTGATCATGTCCCTCGGGGGGTCCTGTAGGGGGTGCTCAGGGAGTATGGAGTACCGGGCCCATTAATATGGGCTGTTAGGTCTCTGTATGACCGGTGTCAGAGCCTGGTCCACATTGCAGGCAGTAAGTCGGACTTGTTTCCGGTGAGGGTTGGACTCCGCCAAGGTTGCCATTGTCACAGATTCTGTTCATAACCTTTATGGGCAGAATTTCTAGGCGAAACCAAGGTGTTGAAGGGATCGCTTTTGGTGGCCTTTGTTAGGATTCCAGTTTGTGTGGGTTGATTTTTGTGTTTTCCCCTCTCCACCACCAGGTGGTGCCCTGTCCTCGTTGGGCCTCCCTGCACACCTGCGGCTAGTTGGTTCTTTACCAGAGGAGTACTTGAGCAGCAGGCTCTCACCACCTCGACGCTAGAGTGTTTGCCCGTATTGGGTACTCTAGCTAAACTGAGATTAGCAGAGTCTAACCATAGCATTTTTTCTCTGAGTCTGAACTTGTTTTTTGTCTTTGTTCTTTGGCAGGAAGACTTCCTTTGTTACTGGATAAGCCTGGACCTTCTACCCTTGGAAGGATTTACTAAGTCTCACTGAGCAAGGGAAAAACCTCCACATGATCCGTTCAAGTCCACTCCTGGAAAACCAAGTGACAGTCCGCTCCTTTACTCCTCTGGGTCCAACGTATGTCTGCCCGTCCGCTCTCCAATGAGTTCCCTCTTTTCTGGATTAAACCCCCACAAACTGGATCCAAGGATAAACCAAGAGCCCCCCAAAAGTGAGTGCCTCTCCCACAATATTCAAGCCTCAGTCTATTTTCCCACTGTCCCTGAACTGATCACTGTTATCTCCCCTTCAGAGTTTCCGGTTCCGGTTCACCAGTCCGCTGAGTTCCAGCATTGTTTTCCTCACAAAGTTTCAATCTCCTTCAGTGTTTGCTAACCTACAATAAACCTGTTAAACTTTTGCCCTTGGTCTCTGAGTGGTTCTCTGCATGGGAGTCAGATCTTTAAAGCCCATTATGACAGCCTTAGGATCTTGTCTTTGTTATCCGCAGCTGATGCAGTTCCATTGGCTTCATCGTGGTGTGACCTACAGCTCTCACTGGGGCAGTTCGCCTGCTCTAGTGCCTGGTGGTGCAGATTGAATGGCGGCTTTGATTGTGTCAGTGTGCCCCAGGGCAGCGGTGGCAAAAGGCAGCGTACCACCATTAGCATATGAAGGGCTGTGTGGTCCTTGAACTTGATAAAATTCTACATAAGTACATTTACCAAAATAGGTCAAAGAAATTTGACCTTAAAATGTATGTATTAGAAGCACAGACCTAAATCCAATTGGGAAGATTTGATTTTCAAGATTTTATCTGACTGAACTTAAACCATGTTGATAAATAAATGGATACAAAAGCTGAATCTCTAGCAAAGCAATATCCCAAAGGACCCACAGCTTTGGCTAAAGGGAAAGACCCTTCAGTGGTAACTCTAGGAAACAGGTAAAAATGCATCTCACGAGCCTTAGACCTTTAATAGTGAGTAACTGATAAAGCACTGCGTGTTAGATTTATAGTACTGCTGGAAAAGATGTTTGTAAAACACCCTTAACTGAATACATCTTGTATGTAATTTAAACAAGTTAAAGTCTTAACTCTGCTGTGACTTTCTGTTTGTGCTCTATGTGAGGCTAAGATTTAGCTTTCTGGACATGATCGAAAGTCTTCAATGGTATTTCGAGCTTTATCTTTGCCACCTATCAAGGTTTCTTGAGGTAAACTCTGAAGAGCAGGGAAGTACAATGCACTTGCTGTGCATTGCAGTTCAATTTAAATTTGTTAGAAGCTGTTTTTGTATTTTATTTATGTATTTTTTATCTTCAGCTGCTTGTTTTGCTGTCACCACCACGGCATCTTTAAAAGATTAATTCCAGGATGAGTCATGTTTCCTGTGATGGAGCTTTCTGCTGGTTATGATTACATGCTTCCTGCTACATTTTTCTTCCTGCACCACGACACTGACTTCCAGAAATTGACGGCCGGTGCGGTAAGGTAGCAACTCATGCAATTGTTTCTGTTTTTAGAAACCATTAAAAAAGAAGTTTCTCATTCCTAATCAGAAGATCACAGCATGATGAAAATGCATAATTTGACATCATTCGTTGCGAACAGTTGGCGAAGCTCAGGTCAAACGTCTCAGCGATCATCATGAGACTCTGCATAAATTAGTAAGACATTTACAATTAGTTTATGAGCAAAGACATTTTTATTTCTCAATATTTGTACAAAGCGTCTTTATACAGAAGAATAATATAAAGGTCTATTAATAGGAAAAAAAACATTTTATACAGGAAGCCCTACGGTAACTAAAGGTACTTTAAAAATCTGTGCAATGCAATTATTAGTCCATAAAGAACATAAAGTGATGGTGGTGGGGGGGTTGGGTCAGCTAAATATATCTGAATATCAGTCAAAATTTATTTAGGTAATTTTGTTCTAAAAGTAAAAATCTTAAACAGCTTTATCATTACACACAGAGTGATTTATTTCCTCAAATTATTTTTATAATCAATTATTCAAACCTGAAACCATTCATATATAGAAGCTTGCTGTTCTAAATGAAAATATTAATGGAAAGTTAGGTGAAAGAAGAAAAGTGGCACAAAAATGAAGTGCGAAGGAAGCATTGGATGGATTGTGGTGCAAAACACGAGTGTTTATAAGGTGTAGGCTCGGTTGGTGCTTCAATCCCCTCCAATCACAGACATATCCAGCATACTGGCTACATGTCATTTTGTTTTCATGATGCGCTAAAACCTGAAAAAAAAAAGTACTGGAACGCTGCTTTGAATGTGCAGTTCGTTCAGTTCTCTTCAGTGGCAGTTCTAGAAAAGTTCATGGAATGTCCAGGCACTGAGGAGTGGCCAAAAACGGTGCAAAAAATAAGTTCAGAGTGATCACAATGAACTGACTGCGTGCTCCTGAGGTGGTGAATTACAACCCACAAGGAGTGGCCATTGATTGACTTAGGGGGGGTTGTGGCCCCTCTGGACCCCTTCTAGCTCTACCCTTGATTCTATTTCAGAAGCAAGGATACTTTGCAATTTATTTGAAATGAATGTCTCATGGTCTGAGAAATGAATTGAGAGGCACCAACATTCCCACTATCACTGCTTCATGGAGCCATATGTTTTATAAAAGAGCACCTCAGTGGAGCTAAAGGCTGATCTTCTCCATGCTACGTTGCACTGCTGCAGTAACTTATTTAACACAGGTCCATCCAGAACTAAGGAATAAATACAATCCGAGGACTTAGATATCTGTCTAAAATATTTAGTTTTTACTCATTTTTTTGTGGTATGCTTAGCGGTGAATCTGGGATTTTCATTATCTGTAACTACTGTATAATCATCCAAATTCGTTCGAATCAACATTCTGTATGGATCAATTAGTTTCATTCATTAAATAATGTGTTTCATTTGCCTAATAGTATGTAGTGCTCCAATTTTCATAAACCTAAAAGTAATCAGAGATAAATGCTTCCAGCAAATCAGTCTGTATGTGATGATTTTTTTTTAACACCAGTTTCAATTCACCGGAATTAAAAGCATAAGAATGACTGAATTCATTCAGATTTTTGATAAACGTGTATGTCTTTTAATAAACCTGCAGAGAGATTTTGCTCTTTGATTTTTTTTTTCTTAAAGATACACTAAAACCTCCCATGCAAACCATAAGCTAAATGTTGCTATAATCTTAATCCTGCCAGTTTGCAGTCCACTGCCTGGATCCTGGCAGCATTGACACCTTTTTTTTTTTTTGGTCATTTAAATACTTAACTTGAAGCTTTGCAGCTGAGCAGAGTTCCTATTCCAGTAATGCAGCTGCACAGCTCATTCAAGCCTGAAACTTTGTACCTCGCTGAGCGTGTTTTTATCTCGATTCCCCTTCGCGAACCACTGTCGTTCGTTTGTTTGTTTGTTTTTTTGTTTGAGAAAGCTTGCCAACAGCCTAAATGACTATTGAGTGAAGGTGTCTGAAACACATGATGACATCCATGGGGATAGGGGGGTGCAAATGGTTCCCATCCAGACGCAGGTACCTAAGAGGGCAGAACGAAGTGAATCAGTTTTTGACTCGTCGGTTCCTGTTCACTGCGAGTTACAGTTACACATATTCATACCTTAGTCGGGGCACCAGACTGTCGTCGTTGTGGTCGGTCGACATGCTAAATGGGCAGATCTCAGTGCCGTTGATGCCTGTTCAGAAAAAAAAGTACAGATTTCAGATAAAAAAGGTAATTTATTGTCATAAAACTTCACATTTTTAAGGACTAGTAAATGGTGCTGCTTTGTTTTCTTTCCTAACTCGTTTGCCGTCTCTCAATATGTGTACTTGTGCGTTCTCATGTGCTTGTGAAACGTCATCAACCTCAGCCCTAGTACTGTTCCAATTCACAAGAAGACGGAGAACGGACAAAGTCCCCGCATGTTTTTCTCACCCCTCCCTCTTTACCCAGTATTCATCAGAAAAGACTTGTCCGTTCTCTGGCTTGACAGCTGTCCCAGCATGCGCTGCGGCAGCAGCAGCTTCCAGGTTATCGCTCACAGAGCTCAGAGTATTATGTTAAATGTTCTCTTTTCTGTTGCTGTTGTTCTATAAAAGTACTTTTTAAAATCATTTGAGGTGAGAACATTATACTTTTAAGCATCACTATATGGTCCATTCACTGATTTAGTGCATAGTTTAAAAAAAAGTTCCAAAGCTAAGAGGACCGCGGCAACCAGCGGGCCTCCGAGGCTAACCGCAGCCCGTCTGCAGCAGCCCTCTCTCTGCATAGCCGTGTGTGAAGGACCGCTGGATCTGATGGTGATTTTTGTATTATTTGGCAAAATTTTTATTTGATTTGTGTTTATTTGACTATGTTCATTATTATTCCCCCACAAAATGAAAAAGGTAAGAATTTATTATTATCTAGAGACTATTAATAACAGGAGGTGAAATGCAGCTTCAGATTAGCTGAGCATCTGATGACTTCACGACTACGCTTCTCTTCCTATTGACTCATATTTATGCTGTGTGCTCCCATTCCTGTGTCCCGACTTTACTCTGTTCTTTTCAAGAAAGTACTTGTCGAGGACACGAGTCTGTACTCTCCTTCTTGTGAATTGCGAAACGACCTTCGATACGCCCCACAGAGATTTGCCCTTTGACCTTTATCAGTTTCTTTTATTTTTGTGGGCTGAATTCAGAAGTTCCCACAGCTGATATTGAAGATGTCAAACAGATGCTTACTCTCAATGCTGTTGTGGTTGAGATGCAGGTGCTCTAGGCGATTATTGAAGAGAGGGACCACTGTCAGCTGGTTGTGAGCCAGCTGCAGGTCCAGCAGGCTGCTCATGTTGAACACAGCTTTGGGAACCCCTTTATCACTCAGCTGGTTGTAGTTTAGCCTCACAAATGCCAGATGGGTGAAGCCTTTGAAGTAGTCCCTGAAAACGCAAAGCAAAAAAAACACCCAACACGGTGGCATTCTAAGGTAAAAGCCTCCCATAGACATAAAAACAGGTTAAAAGCTTTATTTTTTTCCTGAAAATCCAGATTTGTGATGCTGTGAAACAAAACTCTGTAGGTATAAAGGTTTGAGCAGCTTTAAAAATTATGTTTTTTATTAATAATTCATTATTTTGCAGCTTTTGTTAAATAAAGAAAAGACAGAATCCTTTTATTGTGACTCTAAAAATACAAACGCAACCCTTGTCTTAATCTGTATGCTTAAACTGGTCTGAAAGAGAGGAATAAAACTGTCCAAACAGAGGAGAGAGTGTTTTGGTGTACACAGAAATCCGGGTTTTGCTAACAACAAATCCACTTGATAAATAAATATATATGTACTCTTTATCAGACGATAATTTAGAATATTTATATTTAAAAAAAAAAAATCTTAAGTCTTAAAATCTGTGTTTTTTCTTTATTATCTTATGCAGGCCAGTTAGTTATACGTCAGCCTGAACACCTAAATTCAGCCAATCATATATCAACGGTCATCTGTCAATCAAATTTTTTCAGTCATAGCATCTTGATTCAAATGTTGCAGCTAATATACGCAACGGTTGCAATAAGAATCATTTCCTTTCCCATTGAGTTCCGTCCCAGTGTTCACGGGGATGGACGTCTGTGTCTTCAGCAGGCGTAGAGCTAACAGAACTGGCAGCGTTGCGAGGCAAGGGCTCAAACATGTACGGCTGTAAGCCTTCTACACCAAACCAAGCTTCTGCCGCCCTGGCGTCCTCTTCCACAACATCTTCATCCCCGCTTTCCTCCTCTAAATAAAAAATGGATGACGGAGGAGACTCATCCACGACCTCTGACACAAAACTCTCCTCCTCTTGCATGTTTCCTCTGTCCATAGCGTTCCTTGACAGAGTCGTTTCTAAGTCACCAATTTAGTGCTACTTGGTCCCAATGGAATTTCACATTGGGAACCTACTAGCACTAAGTTGCTAACTGGTTAGATAGATGCTTAAGAGAAACCACCCACAATCAAACTTGCTTGCCAACCTTCCGCCACAAGAATCACGGCCTCTTGATAAATGACCAATCAAGCACCACTCGCGAGAATTCAGAAATGCCACGGTTGGAACGGCCGATTCCCTACGCCTTTAAAAGTTGTTGTTTGCATTATTTATACAAGCTTACTTTCAAAAAGATTTTTCACTATGTCAGACTCACCACAGTGTTATGCAGAGAAATACCTCCCCTCCTACACATTAATGACAAAAGGGATTGATATATGAATGAAAAAGGGAACTTTTAAATATATTGTTAATGTTGCCAAATTTCTTATGCATGGCCTTAAATTTAGAGTTTTGGTGGACAGATAAATGCAGAGAAGTTTCCTGCCTGTAGAGAATTTCCTCCCCTGTCGCAGGAGCATGCATCGCCCTAAACTCTTGCATATTGATGAGAAAACAGATTGAAATATGGACAAAAAGGGAACTTTTAAATATATATTCTTAATGAAATTATCTAGAATGGTGTTGATAGCAAAAGCGGCAAATGCCATCCACTGAGCAGAGAATTTATTCATCAGACACTGACTGTAGCACATCGACTAAGACGTGTCTCCATACTCCAAAATCTTATTTATTCGAATGTATCTGTCCAACAAAACTGAATTTTACGACACCCATGCATAAGAAATATAAAAAACGTTAAGAAGAAGTTCCCTTTTCGTTCATATTTTAATCCGTTTTCTCATCAGTGTGCAAGAGGGGAAGTAATTCTCGGCAAGAAGCTATTTCTCTGCATAACACCTGGTAAGTGAACATGGGGATGAGCACATAGGACGGCCTTACGTAAATGTATCAACGGAATGATTGACAATTAGGAGGACCACTAATTTTTATGATCCATCCGGAAAAAGAACATCCTCCACTATACCTTTAACTGGTATTAATTATTAAAGTCCTTATTTCCAGGGAGCTCAAAAATTCAACAAGAAAATGTTCTCTTCTGGTCTAAGATTTAGAGAGCTAACATATTTAATTCATGAGTGTTTATTTCCATTATTGTTATGAGCAAAGAACGCCATTTTTGCTTGTAAAAAAAAAGGCAATCTAGAAGAGAAAATTTGAAAAACTACTTGATAAAATAAATTTTTTTTAATGGAGCCTAGGCGGAAGTTCAACTAGGGAAACTGATTGCTCTCCTTCATCCACCTACGACACAGCCAATTTTGTGAACCACACCTCCACGAAAGCCAATCAGCATCCAAAGTTCATGTTAAAAGGCCTCCAATCCGCAACTTGTCTGCTCCTGCGTGCAGGCAGTAGTTGCGCAGTGTGACTTCATTCAGATAACACTGTTTCAACCCACCTCCAGCCCCTCCTCCACCATCATAGCTAAAACTTCATCAGAGCGTCATTCCTCAAGGACTCTTACTGCATGCTGCGTCTCATTTTAACAGGTCCGGCAGAAGACTGCCATGTTGAGCCTGGTTCTGTTTAATGCTTGCTCATCATGGACAGGATCTCTCAACCTGTGTTATCCAAACTGGACTTCCATCTTCCAGGTCCCTGAGTGAAGATCTAGTATCAGCTCAAGCAGTCCACTGGATCTCCCCATAAAGCTCAGCAGACCGTCTCTCTAACCAGCATTCTACAGACTGACCAACTTCATCTATCTCCATTCCAACACCAGTTTCAGGCCTGGGGGGGAAACAGCCCTATTCTTTGCTCTTGTTCATGCATATCTATCAAAAGTCATTGCTATGTTTCCTGCCGAGGTCTGAGCGCCAAAGACTAAATAATTGTATCAGTAAATTTCTTCTAATTGTCTTTTTTCTTCGTGTAAGTAACTTTGATGTGTTCTTACATTTTTCCCCTTTTCATATTTTTATATTTGAAATGTTATTTTTTTACAAAACTGGTTTAAAATGTAATTTTTCCAGATTTCTCTTCTTGAAAATTAGTTTTAAAAACTGCATTCTTTTGAGTTTTACAGATCACATTCTTTTCAGTTCAAGCCCAATACTAACACTACGGAAGAGGATTAGGGCCACTGAGAAAAAACAACAGATTTTTAAATATTATTTCAGTTTTTTCTCACAATTTTTACTTTAAATCTCCGAATTTTGGATCTTAATGTAGATGGGCACCCTGAGTTGTTTGGGAGGGCCATTAACACATTGGTGGGAAATGATGGAATTAGGCGACTTTTTACGTGCCCAAGGGGTCCCAGTTGATGCTGTTTCATTAATGGAAGAGCAGATGGTTAAATAAAACAAGAGAGCTAGTTTGGTCTGTAAAACCGACATGGCTAAGGATTGATGCTAACATTTTTGTTAGCTGTTAGAATTCAGTCAGAATTCAGAGATTGAAGTCAGACTTCTGATTTTTTCTCAAATTATACTGAAATAAAACTTAAAAATCAGTTATCTTTTTTTTTTTTTTCCAGTGGCCCTAATCCTCTTCCATACAACACTCCCTCTTGACCAAGAGAAATGTATCTTTGCTTCTCGCTCTAATGAAAGTTGCCCGTAGAAGTAGAGAATGTGATCTGGAATTTAAAAGAATGTAGTTTGTAAAACTCAATCTGAAGGAGAGAAGTTTGAAAATATAAAATTTAAATAAATAAAATTTGGAAAAAAAAATAAACAAATTAGAAAATAAAATCTAAAAAAAATTTTTTTTAAATGTTTTTTTTGTGTTTTTAAGTTTGTTTCTGAATTGCATCTTTTTCTTTTTACATTTCGATTTACACAAAATCTTATCTTTAACCAGAACAATGGAACAAAATCCCCTATATAGTGAATTTTGTGTGTGTATCCACTTCTGAATCGAGTGTGTCAGCAGTGTGTACTTGCTCTGGTATATCATCTATTCTGTTCTTGTCCAGGAACAGCTGATGGAGGCTGTGAGGGATGCCGGCGGGCATCTTCCTCAGAGTGTTGTGAGCCAGGTTGAGCTGCATGAGGCTCTGCAGGTCCTTCAGTGTGTTCTTTCCCAGATCGCTGTCGCTTAACTGATCAAGAACATGCCAAACACCAATCATTTACTCCGGTAATGACAACACAGTTCACTCTTATGCCTGGATGGTGTTCGATGTGGCTCACCTGGTTGTAGTGCAGGTCGAGCAGGGTCAGGTTGTGCAGCTTGCTGAAGGCCCCTGCAGGGATCTTAGAAATGCGATTCCTGTCCAGGCGAAGTTGTTCCAGACTTGATGGGAGGCCTGATGGGACTTCATTTAGCTTGTTTCTTTGTGCATAGAAATACAGCAGACCTGGGATCTTCTTAAAGACCTGCTTAGACACAGACATGGGGCTTAACTATTGAAACCTTTTCTGAATTAAATTGGCTTCAATAAACAAAACCTTTCTAACCTGTTTGTCTATTTTCTGAATATGGTTGTTTGCCAGATTGATCCAGCGGAGCTCTGTGGCATTGTTGAAAGCCTCTGCAGTGAGTTCAGAGATGTAGTTGTTCTGTAGGTACAGGTAATGAGTTCTGAATGGGATGACAGGGACCACACGGAGGTTTCGGTTCTCACAGTATAGAGAATTTGGGTAGCTAGGATGGCACAAACACTCCCGAGGGCAGTCAGAGTAGGGGGACGGAGGGCCGAGGATGGGTGGGGGGTAATCAGTGGGCTCCTGGGGTTCAGGCTCGGCTGGAATCACACGCTTGGGAACAAAAGGTTTCTTCGTTGGAGGTGGACCTTTGGATGGCTTTCTTGGACGAACTCTCTGGGCAAAAACTGCTCCCATCAAGAGGAACAGGAGCAATGAGGAGACAACTCCAACGCCAGCCTTCATCGTCCTTCGAAACAAAAATGATAGAAAAATAAAGAGTTTTCAAGCAAAATGTCCAACAATGCATCAAGCAAGACCTAAAAAACGTCAATTTCGTTCTGCCTATTAGAGACAACTCGAAAAAGTCTTCATACTCTGACTTTTTCCTCACATTTTTAAAATAAAACAAAGGTGGCTTAGAAATGACTTCTATAAGTTAAGCCAGGCATACACCGTGCGTCTTTTTCAGTTGTTGCATCCAGCTACTGTTCACACTGTACGACAGTGTGAGTTCTAAGATCACAACATATGTTTTCACACTGCGTGACCCAGCGCTCTGATGTGATCTACTGCTCACACTCTACGTCAAAAAACCACGTCGGAGTCAGCTCCGCAGTGAGATGGTGCTACATGGGCCCGTCTATCCGGAAGCAAAATGAGTCGAAGAGGAATATGAAACTCACTAAAGTGAAACACGCTGCCTTGGCTATTTGTGCAATTTTGTGTGCTGAAAACCCTAATAAGAAAAGGAGATGTTGTATTTGGACAAAGACATGGCTGAGCAAACGTGGCTACTACGGTCTGCCAATTTTACAGAAAGAACTCCATTTCACTCATTGCATCCACACCATGCTTCTGGGTTTTCATCTGAGAGGAAGAAGAAGAATCCTTGTTTGCCCACTGAGCGATTTGCCCATGGGTTAGGGTTACATGTTAGATTTTTTTCCTCCTGATCGAGAGGTGGTCATGAGAGGCTGATGGTCCCTCGTTACACCCTGTATGCTACACAAGGCACGATCAAGCTGAAAGTCGGCCCGATCAAAAAATTCTCACACGATGGGAAGTCGGTCCGAAAAGGGCAAAAATCCTACATCTGTCTTATTAAATCATTGATAAACAGGAAGTAATTGCATGCTATGAAAGATGTGAACAGTATCCCCAACCGTAGCCCAGCCTGGTCATTGCCAAACCTATAGAAGCATAAAATCAATTGAGTCGAATTAGTCTGACAATATGAGAAAGAATTAAAGATATCGAAAAAAGAGTTTTTCATTATTTCTGTTGTACAGGATGGATATCTTGCTTCTAATCTCAATTTCCAGCCATTGAACTGTGAGCTTAAACTCAAATATTCTATTATACATTATTGCAGCTGATATAAAAATATTCTATCTTATCTTTATTCTAAATGTAAAAGAGCAATGGCTGAAGCCTGAAACCTTTAGACAATGATTTTCTTTATTTTGCAAAACTATTATTATTATTATTCTTTACTGGAAGGATGAGTTAGACCCTTAACTGCTCCTCTTGCACAGTCACCATGAAGTAGTGTTGCTGGTATTTATAAAAAAAAATCTATCCTTTTTTGCCTAAACTTTATATACAAATAGATATTAATATCCCTGGAGTTACGGGTGATCTCATGCATCAAAACTAATTTAATTGCGGGCAAGCTGTGCCAGATGAGAGAAGAACTATTTGTTTATCAGCACAGTTTGACGTGCAGAGCTCTGAGTCGGGCAGTTTTCCTTCCACTGAATGTGAACGACTTATGAAATCCTGCAGAGACTCTTAGAAGCTGCAAAGGCAAAACAGCCAGGATATGTAATGGCATATGGAGTAAATGCTGTTCAATTGCTAAAAAAAAAAGCATGCTTGGTTAATGAAGACAAATATTTTGTAATTGCGAATAATATAAAAAGTAATTCAAAAATTTGAAAAACAGCCAAATAAAAAATAACTAGTAACTTTGCTATTTTCTTAGATTACATTTTTTTAATTTGTGTTATATTTTCCACCATAAAAAGTCAAAAGTTATTTGTTTTCCATTTATTTTACTTTTCAAGTATTTGGTCTTTTTTCAAATATTATTTTTGAACATGCAATAATTCTAAATTCTGTGTTTCAGATTATGTTTTATGCATTGTTTCACAAATGTTTTCCACATCACATTGTCTGAAGACGGATTTCTTTTGGTCAGCATGGACATTAGAAAAAGACGTGAAAAAATAATGCAATTTGTTAAACTAAATCTGAAAAAGGGACATTTGAACAAATAACATTAAGAGCAATTTAAAAAAAATGAATAACTGAAAAAAAATAAAATTTGAGCAAACAGCAAAGTTACTCTCAAAGCCATTTTCTTTAGAGGTTTTCAAAGTTTTATTTCTGATTTTTATTTTTTTATTTCCACTGACATGTGTTCCTTTCTTGCAACAATGTTGGAACAAAATTGTCCCCATACAGATAGAGATAGGTTGAGCCCCACTCCCACTCTGGGTCCCTGAGTAAGACCCACACTGCTCCCTGGGCAAAATGGAAGCACTCTTGAATAAAGAGAATTAATTTCACTGCTCTGTACTTGTGGCAGTGTAATGAAAACAAGGATATATGATTTATTTCTGTGTCCTGGTTTGTCAGAACAGAAAAGACTTCCTGTTTGGCTCATATGTTAATTTACTATTTTCGTTGTGATTGAATAAATTGCTGCATGTCTTTATTCAAGCCACCTGTTGCAGTAAATGATGTCACTGTCTACTTCTGTGCTGAGATTATTGGTCCCAAATGATTCTGAGCTCATTGTTTGAGTATTTCTTGTTTGCAAGAGAAACTCCGTTTTTTTTCCATTGGAAGGTTAAAAAGCACATTATGAGTAAATATTTCTGTTTTATGCATTCCTTTTTTTTATCAAGAGACAGTAGCACATGATATAAAGTTGGAAAATGAATTCTAAAAATAAAGTTTTCTAACTTTTTTATCCTACTTTTCTCGTCTACATTTTGTCTCTGTTTTCTCTGATAGTATTTGTTTTGAGTTTGGATTTAAAGCTTTTTATTCTGTTCTTGCAGAAAGAAGATCACAGTCATACCTTTCTCTTTTTTTATTATCGATATCAGCTTTGAAGCATGTCATAAATCCTTGGAAAGAAGAATTTTCTTTCTTTCGCTTGGATTCCTTTTTTGCCGGCAGGGTTTAAAGTCTTTAGTAAAACCAGCCAGGTTCTCTGTCTGCTTTATGCAACTGCTGTATTTTCCACATGGACACATCTTCCTTCTCCCATCGGCTTTGTTCTTCAGGCATCATCAAATCTCTTTGCTCAAACACTTTGTTGTTTAAGTTCTCTGACAGAGGACACTGATTGGTAAAAACATTTCTAAATCTCTTCCTCACAATATAGGATTTTAAATAATATATTATATATGTATATATTACTTTATAAATGTCCATAGCTACATATTTGCCGTCTATTCTCCAGGTGCACAGTTTTTATATCATTAAAACACTTTACATTACAGTATTTTATTGTTTATCTTTTAACTCTTTACTATTATGTTATTCTGATAGATTTTTCTAAGGTCCATATCATCTGACCATTTTTTTCTATAATATTTTTGCTGCTTTAAACACCAGAAATTCCCCTTTGTGGGACAATAAAGGGACTTCCTATTCTATTCTATTCTATTCTATTCTATTCTTTAAAAAATGCATTTACTGTTTTGTCCTTCAGTGCAAATAATATGACATCAAAACCAGAGCAAAGTAGATTCTGATGATGGTATTGTTAAAAAATGCCCAAGATTGGGCAGCTTGTATGAAGGAATCCTAGCTGCAGATTCCTCTTAGGCACACCCAGTTTTATTCTCACAAGGAGAAAATGGAGGGAGGGGGAACTTTTTTAAATTTTTAGAAAAAAAATTCTCAGTGGTTAGAAACCAGCTCAGCCATGTCAAAAGTGCAGGAGGAACACAATTATTTACAGCATTCGGTCTTTCAAGGGATTTAGCTGTATAGAATGGGTGTGCACACATCCTCTAAACCAGCAAACAGCCCTGATAAGCAAAGGCCTGCTGGAAGCAATCACCACTAATTTTGCTGAACAAATGACTGAGGCATCAGTGGTTCCTGAATGCTTTGTAAATTGGCCTAGATTGTTAAACTTGATGTCATAGAGGGGAGGAGCCAAAGGGAGACGCCTAATTCCATAGGAGCAATGGCAGATGACTTTAGTACAGAGATGTTATCTTATGGCCTGCACGATCAGAGGGGAATACTGCTGAAGCAGAATAACACTAACCTCCTTCACAAGGAGGGTAAACTAGAAAAACAGCAAAATGTCAGCTGGCTGTTCAAAAAGAGATTTTTAATTTTTAAATTTTAAGGCAGGCGGGTAATTTGTACAGAATCAGTTCGGGAAAGCATAGTGTCCAGGCTACCGTCACTGGGTCGGGTTTGGTTGCTCAGTCCCTCACAGGCTCCCTGCCCCCGTCCGCCAGGGTTCCTGGACCAGCCCGGAGCTGACAGCCCTGTTCGAGTGCCCGGTGTGTTTCGACTACGTGCTGCACTCTAGTTGACAATTTTGAAATTCCCCCCTGACATTTTTAAGGTATGAAAAGTAGGACATGTGCGGGAAAAAGGGGACGTCTGGTCACCCTACCATATCAACAATCTTGATGTTTCAGTGAGTGAGTGCTTGTTGCTATGATGCATCTTTGCTCAGCAGCTTCGCTCGTTGTAAACCAACCAATCAGCGCACAGCTCATCTAAATATTCATGAGCATACCATAAAGGGAAGAAAACCTGTTGTTTCATTCTAGGGCTTTTAACCAGGCTTGCATTATGGCTCATAGAACAGCAAATATGCCATTTTCAGCCCAATCAATGTTATACACCCCATTCAGAGACCTTAAGGACCAGCACCAAATACCATATAGAATCAATTTATGACGCCTTTAAAGGAATAGTACACCCAAAACATGATTAGCCTTCATTTTCTACTCACCCCCATGCTGAACAACACTCTGGAGTACTTTTTTGATATCTCAAATGCATCTGGAGATCTGGGAGGCTTCTTGCTGTCTGCTGACATTCAAATAATGGAGGTCTATGGTGCCCGAGGCAGAAAGGTCCATAAAAGTCCACAAAAAACGTGTCAATATTCCTCCATACTGCTCGTCCAATGTATTCCAAGTGTCCTGAGTGGGTAGCATCCAGAATTTACTCGAAACGAAGTCATTTAGAATGTTTTTA